ATCGCCTAGAATATGGCTCAAACACATCTTTTAACCAGCGGAGACCTATCTCATCTGTCGTCCAGCCATTTTGACTAGTTGCAATTAACCAGTCTTGAGGAAGCTTGGGTTCTTGATACCAAGCAGCCTGGTGTTGTTTTGCCTTCAGGATGACCACTGGTGGTATAGGTAGCCCTTTAGAGCTAACACATTCAATGATAGTAACCCATTCCCGATTGCCCTGGATGACTGTACGAGGTCTCTCACTGCGCTCTACAGCAGTGATGACCTTAGATGTTGTACAGAGTCCCATTGCAAAGCCAGTTTCATCAAAGTTCCAGATATCATCTTCATGAATGCCATGTTCCTGAATGGCTTCACGTACAGCTTTAAACCACTGTTTTATAACCTTTGGATTCTCCTGCTTTGCACGCTGGTATGTAATCCTTTGATTATATCTTGCACGTAGTTCAGGACGGCGTTTAACAAAGGAGGAGGCCCAGTTAACTCCAAGGACTGCAGTAGCATCTTGGGAACGTTCACGAAGTAAAGTCTGTGCCATTCCACGCAGAAACTCTGGACGGATTGGAAAGCCTCGCTTATCTGCATCTAACAGTCTCTTCACAAGGACATCCTCTTCAATTGCTGTTAATTTATGGCCACTAGCGCGTGTTTCTGACCGTGGATTGATTCCTTTGAGCCGATCAAGGAAGGTAGATTTAGGCACTCCAAATATGGCTGCAGCCCTTGATTTTGATTGAACTTTTTTGCTTTTATAAGCTGCAATAGCCATTTGCATCCGGTTTTCTTGAGAGAGCGGCATTTTATGTAGTAATAGTGAAAAAACAACGTGTTGAAGAATGATTGTAGAAGATGGGCGCAAAAATGGACGGGACGGCCGTGTGGACGACTCGGCCGTGGATTACGTTAACTATAAATTACTTATCTGACCTAACGTAATCCACAACCGAGCGAGCCACCCAACCGAGCGAACCACCCGAACATGATTCTGCCCGCAGTCAACTATAAGATATCTTAGTACTACGGAATCAAACCAAAGCAAAAAGTCTTTGAACATTTGAATTATCTAGGTCTACTAGGACAGCTTGTTCTAATATGACCAATTTGATGGCAATTGCTACATCGTGGTGGCGCACGCTTCTTAGGAACTGGTTCCATCACCTGTATAGCTTCTTGGGCAAGTTGCTGGCCTTCAGCACCTGTCAGAACACCTCCAGTAGCAATAAAAGATCTAGGGGTTGTGCGCTTTCATTTCTGCTTCTCATTTGCTGCGCGTAGCCCTTTTATCTCCTGATCTAGGAGAAGGACTTTATGCATGGTACATTCAGCCGATTTTGCTAGCTGACGGATTGCTTCATTTGGAGGACTTTCAGAGTTGCGATTAATCAGTTGTTTGATGAGGTGCATCTGCTTTTATACCTCAGCAGTTGTATAAGGAGTCTTTGCAGTCCATTCCTGATCTGAAGGCCCATGGGCAGTAGATGGTGGTGTAATATGCTTGATAGTAAGCTTATCCAACACCTATTGGCAATTCAATGGAACAAGACCAGAGGCTTCAAATGCACTGCGGATATTTTTAGACGATAAGGCCTTTCGTGCTTCTCTATAAAGTGTCAGAAAGTTATCCTTATCAATGTGATGAATGCCGTTTTGAATGCTTCTCATCACCTCTATCCCATATGCCTCCTTTAGGGGTGCAAAGCAGCCAACATCAAGAGGTTGCAGTTTATCAGATGAATGAGAAGGCATATAAAGAGGGATGATCTGATGATTCTTACAGAAAAGATCAAACTCTGCTGATTCATGGCTAGCATGGCCATCAAGAATCAAAAGCCGATATTTCCCAATTGTACGAGCCATAGTATGTTTTTCAAAGACCTTTTCCAACCATAAAACTCCAAGGTCATTATTAGTCCACCCATTATCACTCAGACCAATCAGCCAGTCAGGGTTGATATCTTGATACCATTGAGATTGGTGGACCTTGCCGGAGAAGATGATCATAGGGGGGAGAGGCCATCCAGAGGCATTAATGCATTCAACGACAGTGACCCATTCGCGATTCCCTGGCTGTATAGCTCGTACGCGGCTTGTTCAATGACGGGATGAAGTAATAACCTTTGCTGTATGGGCTACACCCATTTAAAAGCCAGTCTCATCGAAGTTGTAGATATCCTGCTCAAGAATACCATATTTTACTATAGTATTCTGAACAAGATTAAACCATTGGTTAATGACTTCTGGATCCTCACATTTTGCACGCTGGTAATCATATTTGCGGGTATATTTTGATATAAGATCAGCTGCTCGTATGCTTTTAAACTGGCTATTTTGGTATGCTTTGACTGCAAGAGATATGCAATCTTCTAATTTAACAGTTGAATCAGGTTGTTTTGATGCCATATTGGGTGGAAAATTGGGTTTGATGATGATCCAATGGATGCAAGGTTCAGGGGTTCTGAGGTGGCTCGCTCGGTTGGGTGGCTCGCTCGGTTGTGGATTACGTTATTCAATCAGGGCTTTTATTACAATTGTCTCTGGACTATCAAATTGTCACTGAAATAATCTTTTACGCTTTAGTGTCGTTTAGCTATGATATACAAGGCCCTACAGATCTGGGCTGACTATCCTCGATGAAAGTATTGAACATTTGCCAATAGGAAATGGTGAGACACTCTCCAGCTCGTTGGCTATCTTACAAATTGCTCCTTTTGATATAATACAAGACGTCATTCACACCGATCCGATTCAGGAATGTCCGTATAAGATTTCTCCTCAGACTATGGTGAGCAACAATGATCGAGGCCTCTCATAGCCCATGATGCCGGTATGAGCCGGAATTCGTAAGAGCAATTGGAGTTGGGTTACCGTCCAAGCCATGGATGACTGTACTATCCGTGACATCCCCGTAACCCTGGAAGGGAAAGAAAGTCTGATGTCGATGCAATGCGATCATCTAGTTGATGAAGGATCCAGTCCCGTCATGTTCTGTCCGTTTGCTTTGGCTTTCTCAAGCTCCTCGATCTTTTCGTCGATGATTGCTATCTCAGCCTCGATGCTGAGAAGTTTCTCACCCAAGATTCCCCTGTATTCGTCATCAGAGAGGGTCTTGAGTGGAATCCATTTGGAATCTGCTATTCGTTGCAGAATTGGCTTCGATGGGGTATTTGCATGTTCCATCTGCCATGAGTCGACAGCATTGTAAGATCTCTGTCCCAGGTAGCCGAGCAGCGAGAATACCACAACTCCTGGGATGAGACGACCACCTGTGATTTATTGTCAGTCTCGCACATTTCAAGCAGTCTCTGGAATTCAAGTACCCATTAATCTAGTCACGGCGCCGCCAGCGATGCCACCAGAGACAGCGCTGACATAGGCTCTCTGTTTTGGGGTGGCCCTATCCTCATAGTGGAGACTTAGGATGTTGCTCCTTAGCCCTGCAATCAAGTAATCAGCATCATGGGCATCCAACATCACCGGACTTGGAAGAAATATGACGTACACCAGAAGGAAGTCCCACAGGCAAACCAGTGGATGCCGCAAGAAATCGAATGGATTACAGGATGAGGAGACCTTATGACTCCGGAGATGCCTCCGTAAACGAGACCAGCAGAGCCTGAATGGCGAAAGTCAGCACCTTTTTCAGAAGAAACCCGTCATATTGGATCGTTGAAGGTCTCGAGGGCAAGTTTCGGGGTGGTTGGGCAAAGTGAAGAACTCACCGCTCAAAGCTCCTGCTTTTAATGACGCCAACCATACATTCTCTCCTAATACAGGCCTCTGACCATTCTGTCCGCTCATCTTGCGACTGACCAGGGAACGTATATTTGAAGCATGCCGCTGCGGTTGGCTACTTAAATGATAAGACCTGCTGTTATCTATCAGAGGCGATGTTCATATGGCGGAACCTCACGTGACCTCAGGTCATTCGCAGACGATTTCTCTACCCAGATTTCCGATCCAGATATCGATCATCTAAATGCAACTAGGGGAGGATTCAGCCGTGTTTCACCTTACTCTATTTACAGTTTTACACTGATTTGGTTAACTCGAGAAAGGATAGGTACCAAAGTAGGACCAATCTGCTTGTGAACCGTTTTGATAGAACCATACACGGTTATTGTGCCTGTAATAGGTACAGTTTGCCCCTCCACCTACACCTGGACCCAGCCAGGGACCTCAGCTGTCGAATATGAGAGTAAATGTTTATCCCCATAATGGTTGCTTCATGCCCTTATTAGTCTCTCTCAAATTTGCACTCTGTTGAGATACTGGCCTATACTACTGAGTCTCGGAATCCTGTTAGATATGTGGCATGCGTGCAGGATAATAATCCGCTTCGGGCTAAGGGCACAGCTCCTCGTACTCCGTACTACTGGATTGGTTCAAGATGGCTTGCATTGAGCCGATCAATCATGAAGTAAAGTTAGAAGTATGATATAGTGATTATCAAGTAATAGCTAGCTGGATAATTAATTGCTTATTATCTGGAAAGAATGTGCATCTTGCCTCTCCAGGATGTGTTGATGGCACACCGAGCAGCGATGTGACAAAGCCCTGGGGTTGGGTCGAGGCCGGAAGCCGCACGACCACTTTTTTTTTTTCCTGAGGCTGACTTTTCTAGCGTCATACTAAAAATTATCCTCACGGATTAACCTACTTTCCCCCCCTCTATCCTTTCAACTGCGGAGGTCACCTGCAATAATTCATCGCACGTCTACTTGTTTAAACAACTAGACGTCATTTCTTGAAATCCATTTTATCTTCCTGTCTAGAAGTCTTCTATAACCCTATTTAGGCCCATTTAACATCCTGCCTGAGACGCGCACAAGTCCTTGGCGCGTTTCCTGAATTTCCACAACCGCAATCATGGGTATGTACCACAACCTTCAGTGCATCCCAGGAGTCTCCAGATCAGATGCGTCGAATATGATGATGAGTACTAACGGTATCCGATGCAGCGCCCGCAAAGCAGAAAGCCCAGAAGATGTCCATCGGCACCTTCCTGGCCGATGAAAGTAGGTTCCCACACAAATTCCCCGCGGGGATGGACTGTGCTAAGCGAAACAGGCCTTGGCTCCTGGGCCGATGAGATGGAGGATATGCCCTTGCCTTGTAAGTTGCAACTGTCGTCGATGAAACACACTGGAAAAATGATGGTTTTTGCTGATTTCATGACTTTGCAGCCGGTATGTACTACGCGCACTATCGTGTTACTTTTCCGCCGATAGTCTCTTCCACTTCCGATAAAGATGACAAGGCTAAAGATGCAATAGCTCCTCCTTCCCAGCTCGGCTACGGAGGTGACCGCCGCGGCGCTGGCCCTCTTTCCGGTGGATTCGGCAATGGTTTCAATGGTATGGCTCCCGGTTTCGATCGGTTAAGAATGCAGTCTGATTCTAGAGTGACACAGACCGTGGTGGATATGCGATCAGAGAGCCTCTCCCACTTCCTACTCAACCGCCTTACACCGCTCACGTTGGAAACCTTTCTTTTGAGGCGACCTCGGCCGATATCAACGACCTGTTTGCTGGGTGTGGCGTGACGAACGTCCGTATCGTTGAAGATAAGTTGACAAGAACCCCCAAGGGCTTCGGCTATGTTGAATTTGAGACCGTCGACGGCTTGAAGAAGGCCCTTGACCTCTCAGGAACCACCCTTCAGGGAAGAGCGATTCGTGTCAGCATCGCTGAGCCCCGTAAGTATCCTCATCGCATGTTCAACACATTCTATGCGCAAGAAAAAACTGACTGCCGTCAACAGCCAAGGAGCGTGATGTCAAGGAGCTTGACTGGACTCGCAAGGGCCCCTTGCCCGCGCCCGAGCAACCTTCCCGTCGTGTGCCCGACCGCTCGACTTTCGGACGTAACCTCGACAACCTCTCCGATGCCGGTAGCGAACGTGCCGGTGGTCGTCGCAACTTCGAGTCGGATGGAAAGGTGCGCGATTTCGGCAACTGGGAGCGCAAGGGTCCTCTTTCTCCGGTGACTGGACCAGTCAGAGAAGGTGGCCGGCCTCGCAGCAACGAAGGCCCCGGTTTCAGAAGAAGCTCGCCCGCTTGGGGTGAGGGACGCTCTCAGGATGGCTCGAGACCCCCGCGCCGCGAATTCCAGGAGCGCGCACCCACTGCCGCCGAACTCGATAACTCATGGAGAGCCAGGATGCGCCCCGATCAGCCCCCTGCCAAGGAACCCAGTAACCCTCCTTCTCCCGCCGCTACTCCCGCCTCCCCTGCCGCCCCCGCCGCTCCCGCCTCTCGCCCTAAGTTGAACCTCCAGAAGCGGACTGTCACCGACACTCCGTCCAGCCCCGCTGCCAGCACTGATTCAAAGGCTAGCCCATTCGGTGGTGCTCGGCCCATCGATACTGCCGCCAGAGAGAGACAAGTTGAGGAGCGTCGTCAACTAGCGCTCCGTCAGAAGAAGGAGGCCGAAGAGAAGGCCAAGGCCGAGAAAGCCGAGAAGCAACGTCAGTCCAAGGAGCAGGCCAAGAGCGAGAAGCCTGTGCCAGCTGCCGATCCCAACGGCAAGGACAGCATGGACATCCCTCAGGGCGGAAAGAACTTCGAGATCCTCCGGCAGGCCGGTGAGGATGAAAGCGGCGCTGCCGAACAAGAGCAACCGGAAGAAGCTCCTGCCGCCGCTGCGGGTGATGAGGCCTCGAAGCAGGCTCCCGCCGGCAAGGCGAACGGTAACTGGCGAAGCGGAGGTCCTGCTCAGCCCGCCGAGGCTGCCGCAGACGAAGAAGGCTGGAGCACTGTGAGCTCGAGGCAACGCAACAACCGTCGTGGACAGTCTGGACGTACATTCGCATAGATTTCTCGATACCCTGATTCATGTCATCGTTCATAGCCGAGTACTACTACGCTGGTTTCAGGGAGAAGTAGGGTTCGTCAGTTGTCATTTTTTTTTCGGATGCCACAAATCTGACGGCACAGCCTCCATGCTCACAGCATTTGCTTCTTGGTTAAGTCGATGGCCAGCTTTTTTCCTCCTCTGCCGTCCTCTCTACTCCGTCTTTCCTTTGGTTCGTGATATCTTTCGTCGGGCTAGATTCCTGAACCACGTCTCGTCACTGCTGACGTTGTCGGGCACGTCGAAAAAGTTCGTGTTTATTTTCTTGTTATGTCTACCCATTTCCTTGTCGTCATCTGTGTTTACCCTCCCCTTCTCTGAGCTAGCTATTCCCATGTTGTGTGGATTTAGTGTTGTGCACTCATGACCCATCACGGCCTATGTGAAGGAACGGGCTATGTGACTTCCTGAGATGTTTGTATTTCTTCCTCCTTTCCTCGGCAGAATTGGTCTTCTCGCTGTCAACGTATTCCCCCCTCTCATTGTCTATCTTGTTTCGGGATTGGGGGAGATGGAGTGTGGAGTCCTATTCTACTTGTTCTTCTAACGGAGCCATGTCCCTTCCTAGATGACGAGACAGCCATGCGAATAAGATTATGACTCAGAAGCTAGATGTATGATGCGAAGCTGGGAAGAACATAGAATGCGATGTAGGCAACTTTAGTGGCGACAGGCGTCAACCACCAGCTTCCCATGACAGCTCCTCCGTGTTACAAGCTGTCCTTGACTGGGTGTGTGAGGCTACATTCCTGTGCCAGCCACTGGGAGATAAATATCCAAGCAAGGGGGAACTGAGCAACACGACGAGAAGAGGGGCAAGTAGCGAGTAGATAGCTAATCTCTCACGGAGAACTTGCACGTTGCAAGGGATATAGCTAGAATGGCTGGTGTTTCCCCGGCGATCAGCTATGGTGACGCTGAGACGCTTCATTCCTTGCAAGAGACTAATGTCGATGGCTGGGGGACCCTTCACTTCTGCGCAGGCAGGTTGGATCAAGATCATGAGGTAAAGAGTGGTAATCTGTATATAGGATCGATGTTGATCGACATTGATATCCTACGAGACTGGATTATTTCATCTAGTTCCTGGAGGTGACCAGTCAACTACACTAAAATCCACCAGACGCGGAGACTAAAAGTGATCCACGATCTACACGTGCACCTTTTAATAGGCGACTCATTTAACAACAATCATATCATATTTATTTGGTCGAATACTCTGCTGAATAGTGAACTTCGGAAATTGAGGATTGGCATTCCAGTAGAAATCTTGAGTTGCAGTTTGCAGTGTTCATTGACGGGGGATTCCTTTTGCCTTCAGAGACAGCGTAAGATCGAGAGACATATTTATAGAATGCGCTAAACATAGACTTGACTGACTGTAACTCCAGCCTGTAATACGAATCATGATCCTTCCCCAGCATTTGATAATAATAACTCCTAGTCAGCCTCCCTTTGACTTCGCTTCCTTACCTCCTTGACTCTTCCAGTAATTACTTATTGTGAGCCTCATGAGACATCTTTTCTGTGCCACTTCTCTTCTTTGTGCACTGGACACTTCACCGATCTGCCCCCCGCTATTCAAAGGCCCGGACTGGACGACTGGACGACCTGCGACGCCGAGCCTCCATCCTTTCATTTCCGCGACCCCAGGTTCAGCTTCGTTTCAGGCCTCAATGCGTTAAGTTCGACCCAGAAGAACACTTCCAATTCCTTCGATTCATGCCTTGATAATGTCGACCACCACAACCACGACTGTGACGGCTACGACGCTCGTGGGAATGCTTCCGACCATGACGAGCGCTACCCCCAACATCTCGGGGAAGAATTGTCCAACATGTGGCCAGGCCGGGTACATGTCGCAGGATCAATTAGTCGAGAGCGCCCGGAAGAGGGTGAAGGAGTTGGAGGGTCAGGTCGAGCTGTTGAACGCGCACGCTACGCAGATGGGTAAGCGCGGTTGCTGTGAACAAGGCAATCAATTACCTGACGATGTTGCTAATCTGGTCTACGTCTACAGCTGCACAACTGGCCGAGTACGAAAAAGAAGTGCGCCGTCTCCGATCGCAAACCAACACGCACACCCCCAGGACAGGCTCCGCATCGTCCACATCATCCACTCCATCGAATGAGAGCGAGCATTCGCGGTCCTCGCCGCCACAGGCCCAGCAACAAAGTCGCCTATCGACGCTGACGTCGCTTCTTCCTTACCGTCGTCCTAGCACCGCATCCCCGACCCAGACCATGGCCCAGCCAGCACAACCGGTCACTTCTCCCGATCAGGTTACGACAGAGCTTCAGACTGCGCTCGAGCGAGAACAGAGCTTACGCAAGGCGGCGGAGAGCCAGCTCTCCCAGGCCAGTTCGGAGCTGGAGGAACTGACGGCGCAGCTGTTCAGTCAAGCGAACGAGATGGTTGCGCAAGAGCGCAAGGCGCGGGCGAAATTGGAAGAGAGGGTGGCGGTGCTTGAACGCCGGGATGTCGAGAAGAGGAAACGTCTTGACAGACTGGAAAAGGCGATGGAGAGGGTAGAGAGGCTTCGAGCATTGGTTGGATAGTCCACGGATGTATAGACTTTCACTTTTTCTTTTTGCTTTGCTTTGGATCTATTATACCCCCTGTTTTGGTTCCGGCGGACGACTCCTGCTTTGGATTGTTTTTGACGCGATATGGCCTCATGAATTGACCATTGGGCTATTGGCCCATGAGGACCACGACCAGCATTGTTATGACAGGAAGGCGTTTTGGATAGCATTTACTCTGTTGTTATAGCTGATGCGTCAGCAATTTACACCCACTTGATCACTACATGCTAGATGGCTGTGCAAGTAGTACAATATGACACTAACGACCTCCTTTCCTTAAACTTCGACACTTCCAGTGACTCATGAGATGGCACGGTTTGGCCACGCGCAACGGTCCGTGTTGTAATGGTTTAGGCTAAACGCTGTATGCTTCACCGGGTCGTTTCCACTTTCCTCTCTCCACCCCGCCCAGCGCAGGCAGGGTCTGACAGATGGGGGCGCCAATGAAATGCCGGCAGGAGCATGGCAGCTGGATGCTGCATAACCGGATTTCTAATCGTATTCCAAGGTATATAAACTCGTGCATCTGTACAGTCTCGATTGTCAATACTGTCTGTGTATCTGTTGCATTTAAACCATCGATATGTCTGTCGGAGTGGCTATCATTGGAAGCGGTATGTCCACCATCTATACTCGTACAACAGCCATTGACCTAAAACTGATAAAATCACAGGCATCTTCGCTCGCGAAGAGCATCTGGTAGGCCATCCGCTTTGTCATTTGGATCTGACAACCCTGACACCAGTCATAGCCTGCAGTCCAAGCAGCAAAGGACTTTCAGCTGAAAGCCATCTATTCCCGCTCCCTCAAATCAGCTCAGGACCTCGCAAGCGGGACTACGCGCGTTGACCTCTACTCCGAGGACTCTGGCCCAGGAAAGGGTTACGCCGATTTACTCGCCCGCGAGGACATCGCGGCGGTTCTCATCGCGTGCGTCTCGTTTTCACCCCTCCAGGGATAGTCTCACAGGCTAACCGACCTCCGCGCAGTCTCCCCATCCTGGTCCAGCCGGATTTCATCCGCAAGGCCCTGACGGCAGGAAAGCACGTCCTGTCCGAGAAACCGATTGCCAAGGACATTGCCACGGCGCGCAACCTACTACAGTGGTACCATGCAAACATTGACACCAGCAAGACTCTCTGGGCCGTTGCAGAGAACTTCCGGTACATGACCAAGTTCCTACGCACGGCCGAGGAGGTGCAGAAGCTGGGGCGAGTCAAGAATTTCCGGGTGAATTCTCACGCGCTGATCTCGACGGGCTCGAAGTATTTTAGTAAGTTATATCTACTTTGCTATGTCTTTTCATCTATTGCGTTGTCTGACGAAGCAGAAACCGCGTGGCGCCAAACACCAGGATACCAGGGTGGATTCATCCTCGACGGCGGAGTCCATATCATAGCAGCTCTACGATTGATTCTCGGGTCGAACGATCCCGTCGCTACGATATCCGCGCAGTCCTGTCTCCAGCAGCAGCATCTTCTTCCTCTGGACACGGTGAACGCGGTGATGAAGACCAAATCTGGCGCTACGGGTGTGCTGTCCTTGTCGTACGGATCAGCCTTTAATGACTCTGTTTTCGAGTTTGACTGCGAGGGGGGCGTGGTCGCCTTGAACTTTGACACGCTCACAATTAAAGACGAGAGCAATGAGCTCGCCTTTGACGGACGAGGCGTTAGCCGTGAGGTCGCTGTATTTGCTACGACGATTGCCAGCGGTGGTTCTGTCGACAAGCGACAGAGCCCGGAAGAGGCATTGGCGGATTTGGAGATTATGGAGAAGATGCTGACCAGTGGTGAGAGAGACGGCGAGAGACAGACCGTGGAATTACAAGTGTAGATACTTATCAGCTTCATGACAATTGATTCCTTGGATACTTATCAGCTTCGTGACAATTGTGATACAAGTAACTTCAATCTGATAGGTACATCCGTAAGTCTTGGCGAGGGTTAGCCGCGCAAGCCCTAAACACCCGTTCTCGCTTAGCGATCCACTAGCGTCCCCGCTGCACTCAGACTCGCTCGCTCGGGCGGCCAAACCTCAGCGGAATTTTTGAGATTGAACTCGAATCGTCACGACAACTCTCGAGCGCCAGCCAGCGAGACCCAACGATACCGACAAGGTATGTTCATTCTGCATTTTGTGTCTGATGCACTGAGATTGTACTGACAGTTTCAAGATGGTCCTCGCAAAGAAGCACGTCCCCATCGTCAAGAAGCGTATGTTCTAGCTCCCTCTGCCAGCCTTTCCCTGCCTCAAGCACACGTACAAAATTCGATTCTGGAGATATAAGGACTGGATGTTTTGGTTTGGATGTGATGGAAGAGACGGTTCCAACAAGAGATGGATCAGCGATCGAGTCGACACCTTTCTTGCAGGCGTTGGAAGAATTTTGAAAATTCATACACACGAGAACATGGAATATAGGAGGACTGACACGGATGTGAACAGGCACCAAGCGCTTCTTCCGCCACCAGTCCGACCGCTTCAAGTGCGTGCCGGAGTCATGGCGCAAGCCCAAGGGTATCGACAACCGTGTCCGCAGACGCTTCAAGGGCAACATCCCCATGCCTTCCGTACGTTCAATTCCTCCGACCCTGCCGCATCAGATTCGATCATCTCGATGAGACAAATCTGAAATCGCTGTGGCCTACCTTGACGCACTGGCATGCTGATATTTCTGGACTAGATCGGTTACGGTAGCAACAAGAAGACCAAGCACATGATGCCCTCCGGCCACAAGGCTTTCCTCGTCCACAACCCCAAGGACGTCGAGCTGCTGCTCATGCACAACCGCACTTACGCCGCTGAGTACGTTGCATTCAGTTCCATCTACGAATAGAATATACTGATTGATGGATAGGATCGCCTCCGCTGTCTCCTCCCGCAAGCGCGTCGACATCATTGCCAAGGCCAAGGCGCTCGGCGTCAAGGTCACCAACCCCAAGGGCCGTGTCACCGTTGAGGCGTAAATGGTGGAATAGGAATGACGAAATAATAGAACGAAAAAATTTGACCCTAGCTTCTTACCGCTTACAAATATACCATGAAGGGGGGCCGGATGGTGGACGTCCTTTTTATTTTCCTCCTCTTTCCTCATCCTCGTCCTTGTGGCTGAGTGTCCGTGGCCGTGGCTGTGTCCGTTTCCTCTGGCGGGTGCGGAAAAGGGTGTCGATTGTCGGTTCCATGTATGGTCGTGCAATCCTCGTGGCAATGACGATTCAAGATATGTGCATCATGCATGCTTTCTGTAGGATGTATTGTGTACGGGCATGGTTATGGCAAGTGTAGATCCTTGAGGCCATGAGATTCCCGTCACTACAGTATGCGTAGCTTGTAGATCATGTCATAGATATAGTGAACCTCATATCATTTATGCGTCTATTTAGCTAAAATCATGGTCTATGTATTATGCTCTTCCTGAAACTCCTGCTGCCGAGCAGCAGAGACATCCACAAGCCCGACCCCCCTCACCAACACCGGATTCTCCCGCTGCTCAGAACCCTCGACAACCATCCCCTCGGGAATCGGCGTCTGGCCAATGACAGTCTCCTCTTCCTCCGGGACAGGCACCCAGTCCGGCGCCTCACGCGGCCCATCCAGCCCCTTGGGCGGCATAGCCCACGAGGGCATCTTGCTATGATACTTCCACTGGCCCTCCAGATCAGAGTACGCAACCGCATGCAGGAAGATGCCGAGTTCATGGACGCCCGGGTCAGTGTAGAGCTCCGTGCCGCAGACGTCGCAGACCTCGCCGGAGAGGCGCTCGCCCTTGCGCTTGTGGTAGTCGTGCACGGCGGCCTCGTGCTCGCGCGACATGATCTCCTCGACGACGGACGGGTGCGTGCCCGGCGGCACGGGCGGCACGGTCGTCAGGTGCGTGCGGTACGTTGTCGTATCTGCAACTTCTGTCTTGCCCATTTCGGACAGCCGGTCCATTATCTCTTCGTCGCGCTCGGCGGTGGCCTCGTTGCGGCCGAGATCGGGCCCGAAGACCCGCCGGTTGGAGTAGATCGGGTCGTTGGTGATCGGGTGGCCCAGGAACTGCAGGTGCACGCGGATCTGGTGCGTGCGCCCCGTCAGCGGGAGGCAGTGCACGATGCTGTAGCCTTCGGATTCGTTGGCGAGCAGCGGCGGTGGCGTCGCGGGCCGGTCGCCGCTGGCTGTCACTTCGCTCTCGTCGCGTTCCGGGGCGGGCGAGGCAGGTGGGTAGTATGCTAGCCGGCGGAACTTGGTCTTTGCGTCCTTGCCGGTGGCGCGCACGCGGTTGAGCCCGAGCTTGGGACTAACGGACATGATGGGCTGGTCGCAGACGACCACGCCGTCTGGGAAGCGGCCCTTGACGCGCGCGATGTACTCCTTCTGCACGGTGCGCTGCTTCAGCTTGATGGTGATGGCGTCCGCGGCCTTGGGGTGCTTCGCGATGAACATCACCCCGGAGGTCAGGCGGTCCAGGCGATTGCAGGGCCGTGGGACGAACTCCTGCCCGCGCTGCGAGCGCAGGATCTCGACGATCGAGTTGTAGTGGTACCGGCCGGCGGCGTGGACGGGGACGCCCGCGGGCTTGTCGATCACTAGGATATCATTGTCCTCGTGGATGATTCCAATCTCATGGCCGGTGACGGGGGGTTCATGGCGGTGGAGGGTATGCGAGATGATTTCGCCGTTCTTGATCACGGTATCGGGGGCCGCGGTTTTGCCGTTGACGGTGACCTTGCCGTCCGCAAGGGCTTGTACCTGCATTGCATTAGCGACAGCGTTCAATCTCATTCACAGTCTGAAGACCCACGTAGTACTCGGCCGGCCGATCTCTGAACTCGGACGTGAAAATTTCCTGCAGCTGCCGACCCCGCCATCGCTCCTTGCAGTAGGTGTTGTATGTGTAGTAGTAGGGCTTGACCCTGCGCAGCCCGCCTTCAAAATAGTATGGGATCGGCCATGGATCGCATGGAGTGACGGCGACTTTCGGGGGTTCTTCGACGGGGTCCGGAGGAGGGACTTTGAGGGTGGTTTCGACGGGAACGACAGCCATGCTGGACGCAGGTATCCTGCCTTGTCGCAGCAGATATGCAGTAATGCGAGGAGATGGAGCCAGGGGTGATATCCACGATTTCGTAATTGTGTGCGTTCGTGTACGGTTGTGTCCTGGTGAAGGCAAAAAATAGCCACCGAAAAAAATATCAAAAATAAATTAGTGTTGCTGTTGCGGGGAAATCAGATCGAGAGGTACATAAGCCCACAACTGAATAGAAATAGCTATATACTGTCTGATATCTCAAGGGGTTATATACAATCCGATCCTAATATATTTACCTCTCGAGAATACTCATATTCTCTTCATTAACGCATATGTTGGATCAATCAGATTGTTGTCGCGATCTCATCCCCGCCTCAGGCACATATGCATAAACCTGTGACATTACTAATAATGTATGAGTTATGCAACTAATCAAATGTACCGACGTTTCAACCTCGGCTTCTTGGTGCCTGAGGTCTCCGATCTCGACATCGACATCAACATCAAACAAACATAGCAACGGCACTACAACTACCTCTCTATAAGAAGCTAGAAATTACTTCCCATTAATGGGATTGTACTAAAAGTCCAGTTGCCCTGGGTCTTTGATTTCCGAGCCCAATCTGACCAACAACCATCATTAGCCGCCACGGTTATATATATATAACTCCTCCACATACTCAAGTAACCGCCCTCACTATAACTTCCTACCTCACACCACAAGCAAAATGTCCCCCAAAGAGGAACTAGAAGCCAAAAAACGCCGCAAGCGAAGCGACTACGTCTTCCACCAGGAATACCGCACCCGATGGCAAGCACCCATCCTCTCCATCACTACCTACCGCTAATGAAAGCCAGGTTCGACAACGACATGTACGCCCACCTCAACAACACCGTCTACGCCATGCTCTTCGACTCGATCGTGAATAGCTGGCTTATCGCCGAGTGCGGGATGGATCCGTTTAACAGGAACAAGTTAACAACAAGCACCGGCACCAGTGACGATGACAGCGCTGTCTCACAGCAAGTCGGGATCATGGTCAACTCGTACTGCGACTACTTCGCCTCAGTCTCATACCCCGATGTACTGGATCTGGGGCTGCGGGTTGCGAGGCTGGGGTCATCCAGCGTGACGTATGAGGTTGGGGTGTTTAGGCGGGGGGAGGAGGATGTGAAGGTTGTCGGGGGGTACACGCATGTGTTTTGTGCGCGGGAGACGATGAGGCCGGCGGAGGGGGGGATGGAGGAGAGGGTTCGACGGGGGTTGGAGAGGTTGGTTGTTAGGGAGGGGGCGAAGTTGTGATTATTCATTTATTATTCGTCAGTGTTTGAGGGAGCTTCATGTGGTGCAGCTGTTGCAGATGATAGACCACCTGATCCTACAAGAGATGGATAGAAAAACACTGTGACACTGGCGATGGTGTGTTTCGTCGATAGCTACGGATTTCCCATGGTGGGTTTGATTTAAACATGGACCGAAAATTTTGTGTTCCATTACTCCTGCTGATGGCAGGTCTAGCAATCAAAGTAAACCCAACATGTAAGGTATCAACAACGCTGTTTTATAGATCATGGACAGAGCAACAATAGCAAGAAAAGTCTATCCGTCTAACCCAAATCAAACGCCATCGCTCATTAACCATTGCCGATATACGCTTTCGTCCGATAATTGTATCAGCAAGTCAATTGCGATGGAAACAATAACAAAATATAAAAACACCCGCTGAAACGCTATTGGCGATAATGATGAGATAAGGTAGTCGTCGGAGTGAAGAGGTGAAACGAGTTGAAGAGTGATGGAAGATGAGATGATGACTCAAGGTGCAGAAGCTAACCCATCTTGGTCGGGACGATGCTGCTGCACCGAGAGACGTTGGAGCTTTCTGGAGACACGACGCGCTGCATCGTCTTGGTGTCATGGTCGTAGTGCCACTTTTGATACGGGCCAGGAATGAACTTTCCTTTGGCGTCCCATCCGGCGACCCAGGTGTAGCCATCATCAAGAAGGAAGAAGAGCAGTCTTTCGGGCTTCGCGCCTTCGTGCAGAGTCACCGACTGCCAGCGACATCGGTCTTCCATTTCGTGTTCAAAGATGTATCGATGGAGGATGCGGCAGTAGACAAGGGGGACGGGGGCTTTCTCCTCGTATTCGCTGCCGTCCTTCTGGACGAGATGCCACCCCAGACCCGGGATGAATTTGTAGATGCCAGGAACAGGGCTTTCCCAATGTTCCTCTTGGTAGATGGATCCTTGAATGCGCTCGCCCCGTTGGAACCAGTAAGTCGGGCAGAAGACTGCGCGAAGGCAGATGAAGAGATTCGGCGCCATAGTATTGATTATTGAATGACGAACAGAGAAGAGACGGATTAGAGGAAAACGGAGAAGAAGAGTAGAAATTCAAAGGAAGCGCTCAGTTGCAGAACTTTTTCGATTCGAGAAATGAGATAGGGAAACAGCGAGGTCATAAATTGATATCCATCGTGACGGTCGTACTTCGAAAAGACTTCGTAGTGGCTGGAAGAAGATGAACAGGGATAGACGGCGATGCTGTCACTGGCACGACACCGGTGTCTGAGGATCAAGTCCCTGATGATTGAGAATGCGAGTGGGATTCGTCCAAGCGATCTCGACCGCTTGTTACTTGGCTGCTTCTGAGAGCAGGGTCAGGGTCAGGATCAGGAGCAACGAAAAGGCGCTGGCTGCAATGATGCGGTGTGTATCACAGCCCAGGAGGCGTGACAACGAACGGAGCTCGAATCTCCTGGAAATATCCTGGACAGAAACAAGAACAGGAACGCAGTGATAGTTTGATAGAAGGTAGCTTTAGAAAAGCCGATCGAGACCCGAATGTGATAGAGGGCAGCGCAGCAGTCACCCTGTGTTACAGCTCGTCAAGAGCGCATGGGGGAAATCTGGACTCTGACTGGACGATAAGGAGAACAGACATTATGCAAGATGAGAAATTGAGGTATTAGAAGGAGTGTTAAGGCCAAACGCCTTTAAATGAAGATCGTTGTGTGCGCGTTTCGCACAGTTCGAGGCGGTCTGAGGTCAGCCCCGACGGTCGTTAAAAAAATTTGATAGTCAGGATCACTGCGCTCCTAAACAGGGTACTCCACGAACCAGACTAGAAAGGACTAGACCTCGTCAAAGAACGGATCCGTCGTGATGGCTTTGCGACAGTCCCATAATTCCGGCGACTTTGACCAACAAAATGTTGCGCCGGTCGAGCTGCAAAGGGGAAACTCTGCGCCGCGGGAAAGCCGAGACCCACACGAGCAGTTGTATTTTTATCGTGCGTTTTTTTTTGCCTTACTTTTTTCCTCTTAGATTCAACTCTATATCACGCTCATCGTCATAGCTGAGTCACATTAATTCGATTTTTACTCTCAGGACCAAGTGTGGCAGCCTCGCTACTTCTCCGTGGGTCCGGGAGATGCGCTTTTTGCTTTTTCCTTCTGTAGTCATGGGTTTAGCATGTTCCTGCAACTGCAAGCTAATGGAATTAGCCGTTAGAACTTAGCAGGCTGTCGGGAAATGTCGTAAAGCAGCTGAGGAGTGAGGAGTGAGCACCTCAAAAAAGAGTGTTCAAGCCATCTTGGCGATGACTGGGCATTATCAACTGCTATCCACTTCGAGATAGGAATCTTGATGCCTGATCATGCAGTTTCCATCTTCGTAGTACTCGGTGTTCTTCCGGAAAGGGATATCCTCTTTTGATTTCTCCATCTCTGAGGCTTGAAATCATTTCATCAACTCCATCAACAGGGGTTTCAGGTTTTTCATCCCGGCTCGATCCTTTGAGAAGTCAAAGCTCGTCACCGATGACAGGAACAGACATGGTTGCGTTGATCCTTTTGAAATCCAGTCGCGACAGCATTTTTTCTTCTTCAGATAGAGGAAAGTCATCACATTTGCATGACTATCGATGGGGGCAGAGTTCCTCCGAAGCTCAGTGGCATATGGTGGGATGATCCTCCCATTGACCTGTCAAAAGTACCACATGTTGTCCGCATGTCTTCCATCGCCGTTCATCGAGTTCTTAAAAGCTGGACAAATCATGAGGCATTACTATGGCCTTCGACTTTAAATAGAAAAAAGGTCAATGTAGTGTTCAGAGGGAGAAATTAGATATCTTATTTTGTGGATCCCCGATCTGCATTCTGCAGCTCGACTACTAGCAGCTGTCATATCAACCAATAAGATCACGATGAGAAACTCCGAGATGTTCACTCATGCACGTTTGCTCTGATATTTAAGCGACTGGTTGCATCATCTGGATCCTTCTCCCTTTTCTGACCTTCTTCCTTCAAAGAGGTGCCACTTGCACCCAGGACGCCAAGACCAATGACTTTCCCACTGATACATCATCCTGGCCTCTGTGGATGAATGGGATTGATGCAATTAATGATGTTCATGATCATTTTGAAGGAGATAGGACCGCCAGAGATAACCTGCCGCATGAGGGCATAATAAGGCCGCTGTCAAGGAGCCCAAGTTGTGATCCGATCTATGAGCTCAACTATAAGAGCTCAACCAAATCCTCCCTCATTGGTTAAGATACTACTCTTGAAGCATGCGCGCAGTTTGACTATCAGTCTGGGTTTGTCTGGCAGCAACATTCTGGCCGCAACTCGAATCCAAGAGCTCGGTACTCGTGGGTACTTGGGCATTTCAGGCTCACTGACGCTATCTAGTGCTTGTTAGGTTCGCCGCTAGCAGGTCAGATGCTTTTGCAGAAGCCTTCCAGAAACTAGCACTAATGTATAAGTGACAGCTTTTCTGCACCTCCCATTTAATTGCCGTATGGGTGCCATTGCCGTTGTAAGGGCAGCATATGAAGGCTCCGTAATATAAGATCACATGATCTCACCGGAGTCGTGTCATCTGTTATTTACTCTGCTTATCTTTCAGGGATGTTAGTTCGACTCCATTGCCCCAAATATGGGGATCCTCTCAAGGTCTTCTGCTCGTACACGCGTTTTAATGACGCGAACTATGAGCTCATGGGACACGTCCTCTTGGTTCCTCATCGCGCCGAGAAAGATTTGAAGGCGTCGTTCATACTCGCTACATCAGTCGTCCAGGCCTCGAGGCCAGTATTCAGGCTTTTCAATCAGAAGCCACCACGGTGGCGCAAAGGAGAATTCGACTGGGGCGGCATATGTGAATTCCCATCCTACAACACCGACGATTATTGAGCTCTTCGTTCAGGAGGATGTCAGCTCGGCGCAAGTCATCGCACCAAAGTTTGAACGGGCCCTTATCAAAGGATGCCAGTCGCTCTGTTAATCGATGTTCTCGGGCGAGTTTGCGGAAAAGATATCGAGCGACAAGCTTGCGCCGACAGTCTTCGGCTGAGTCGATTGCATTGTTGCGCTGGTTTACGAGGTGAGCGATGTGCAGCTCTGCTAGGGCTTCAAAGTATGAGGATGTGGTATCGAATGTCGCGGTTGGCAGTTTCGATTGGGGCAAGGATCCCAGTTGAACCAGAGTATTCATAGGCATTGATAAAGGTCTACGTGTCTCTTCCCAGGTGAAATTGTCAACCTGGTCTAATAAGCGTGTCCGGGTTAGATGGTTGAGCGAGCCGAAGCAAAATCCTTGCGGCCTCTTTCCTCACTGATATCCGGGTCCAGAATTCCACGATCTTCCCTTGGGCACCCAGGTGTGTTAAGAGCATCATACATGGTTGTATCCTGGCCAATATAGTCCATGATAATAAAAGGACCTAATCCCAGGGGATTCTCCTTGGCCCCCAGCGGTGGACAATAGGAACAGGGATAGAAGTCTGATCGTAAATGCATCGCATAATCGCATAATAGCGACTTCATTCCGGACTTTGTTCTTTTCTCCCAGGCGACATCGTCGTAGTATAGGCGTGGTTGCATACTTGGGGAGCCTCAAAGTAGTATATCAGTAAGAACAGAGATAGAATGGATTGTTCCAACATTCCGAAAACACATGGGTGGGTCAATAAGGAGATCGTGGACGGTGGAGTGTCTAAGGTAATTCAGGGGTGGAGATCCTCATACATGATACGTCGGACTGGGGCCTAAGGGCATGAGTTCGCTAATCAGAATCACGATCGACGCAGGGAAGATAGAAATATCTACTCCCTGAGGCAGAAACGGTGAGTAAATCGAGCCTTGCCTTAGCTAAGGGCACCGGTCATCTCCGGCGATCTGTCCGCCAAAGTCAAGATTGCCGTATCCACAGCCACCAACACGACACAGCTGTCGCATTCATCATACTCCGTCTGCCGGGAGGAAGTTTAGTAGCTGGCTCCATGGATATTGTCATCAGTTTCTCTCGTCATGCGAGCCTCGCAGATAGTCGCCGTCTCGCTCTCAACAGCCCTGTTCTGGTGTAGGTCATGGCCGAAGGTATCTGTGAGCAGCAACGTAACCCGCTAGCTCAAGCAGAGCAGATTGCTCTCGAGTTTGACCTCAGTCCTGAGCACGTCAGACGAGTAACGAGGCATTTCGTCTGCCAACTGAGTGAGAATGACTGAAAGCCTCCGGTGTACACGATGCTGACAACTCCAGGGGATGGCCTTGTCAATCACCGCGTCTGGCAATTACCCTCCTACGTAAGAAGCGTGCCCACAGGCAAGGAAACGGGCCGGTTCCTCGCTGTTGATCTCGGCGGTAGCAATTGCAGGATATGCCTTGTCGACCTGCACGGCGACTGTACCTTTACCGTGACGCAGAGCAAGCACAGCGTCCCGCCGGCTGTCATGGTTAACTGCAGCTATCGGCCTCTTTTCGATTGGCTTGCGCAGCGGATAGCGGAATTTCTCGATGCGCATCTGGATCCTGCCAGTCAGTCGCCGTACAGGCTGGGATTCACGTTCAGTTTCACCTGCGAGCAGACGTCCCTCGCTGGCGGGCGTCTCATACACTGGGACAAAGGCTGGGATATCCCCGACGCTGTTGGCCGAGATCCTTGCGTTATGTTGCAAGAGGCCATCGATGAGCTGGGGCTGCCGGTTATGGTGACCGTTCTGGCAAACGATAGTGTTGGCACGCTCCTGACAAGAGCGTATAGCTCGGGCCAGCAGGTTTCGACACTCGGTGCGGTCATCTTCGGGACGGGGACCAACGCCGCATACGTTGAGAAGCTGGCTAACGTGCGTCGACTGGGTGTCAAGGCAAGCGCTGACGATATCATGGTGATGAATACGGAATGGGGCTGTCTGGACGACAAGATGGAAGTCTTACCGCGGACACCATTCGACGACGCCCTCGACGCAGCGTCGGTCGATCCAGGCTCGCAGATGTTCGAAAAGAGGGTTTCGGGCCTGTACCTCGGGGAGCTTCTTCGGCTGGCGATTGTCCAACTGCTGCAAATGGACGCGTTTGACATGAAGGCCGAGGAGAACTCCAAGGTGTTCCAGCCAGGCGCCATCGACTGTCCCTTTCTGTCGGGGCTTGCATTAATCGAACCCAACGACGTCGACGGCTCTAGCAGGTTCATCCAGGACACATTGTCTGCAGAAAATGTCAGCCAAGTCGATGTCCAGGCTATACGACTGCTGGCCTCGTCCATTGCGCGACGAGCAGCACGTCTAGCAGGCGCATCCCTAGCAGCCATCATCATCCAAAGCGGTCGCCTTGACATGCAATACCAACACTCGAAACAGACAACCTCACTCCCCATCGGCAGGACCAACCGCTTCGAGCACCCTGTGACTCCCCGTTGGCGCCGATTGCTGAGCCGCCTTGGAATGAGCTCGCTACCTAGTGGACATCTACCACGGCATACAGATCTCCCGACCTGTTTGGACGAGGACATCATCGACATCGGAGCCGACGGCTCGCTGATCGAATTCTACCCGGACTTCGAGGCCGAGATGCGTGGTGCAATGCGCGATGTACCAGAAATTGGAGAGGCTGGCGAGCAGAGGATCCGCATAGGGCTCGCAAAGGATGGGTCCGGTGTTGGAGCGGCCTTGATGGCACAGGCTGCATGTCAGAGTGAGTAGAAAATTAGAAAGACCAAATTGAGTGTTTTCGGAAGAACTATAGAGCACATTAGGAGTTAGGATGAGCAATATATAGTCTTATAATGGCCATTCCTTGATCTATCCACTTCCCTATACTAGGATCATCCAGGATAAAGAAGAACCAAGTCATCCAAATTCGTACATTAGTAACTCATTTTCCACCCGGCCAAGTCATTCAGATAGAGAAAACACCCTACCAAGCAAACGGCAAAGATATAGCTATACTACACAGCGCCAGCAGTCCCCCTCCCCCACGCGCATAGCTCGTCCGCACATAAGCAATCTCAAACCCAACCCTCTCTGCATTAACAGAACTAGCCGTCCCTGGCCTCGCCTCAACAACAGCTACCCTACAGCCCAGCTCAACCGCATCAGACAATCTTGCCCTCATTAGCAGACGCTGTATACCTTTCCCGCGGGCCCAGGGGAGCACGCTATCAATGTACAGGACTGCTACATCGTCCACGATAGCCATCCCCGCTGAGCCTGCGAGCTTTCCATCGAGGCGCGCGAGGTAGAGCTGTGTATCCGAGTGTGTTCGGTGAGTGGCGCTTTGCGCGAGGAGATGGAGGAGGGCTGCTGGGCGGTTTGTGCTGCGAAAGCCGTCGATGGAGGCTGTGATGAATGTTTCAAGGTCAGAGTGTGCGACCTTGGTGATTTGGATGGGGGTGTCAGGTTCGGAGACAGGACTGCTGGGTGGGAGAGAGATGGAGTAGACGTTGATTGACCCTGTCGGGGTGTACCCGTTTGCTGTTAGGAGGGATGAAGCAGATGGATGTGCGTGGGGGCATAGGTCGATTTCTACGTTTGTGTTTCGCTGTTGGCAGAGATGATGAAGGGTTTCTAGGCTTGAGGGTGAATCTGGTCCGTTCGTCCCCCAGCCAAGGGCGTGGTTGAGTTTGCGGCCGTACTCCGGCGAGGATATCATGGCCAGGCCTGGGGAGAGAGGATGGGAGGTGAATTTGTCTGTGCCATGGAGGGTTTGGAGGGAGGTAACCTGGCGACTGAGGTGGGTGGTTGATGCTGCTTCGAGGACGAGGCGATCCATTGTGACATCTGGCAGCCTGAGGTGATGATTTTTATCATGTGTCTAGTGTATAAGGTAGAGGTTTTTATGTTGAAAATGAGTCATACACTACTGCTAGAGTGATCTTCGTACGGTTGGGACTAGACTAGCAGTGGAGCAAGTATACCCTCACCAGTATTACCACTTCGATTTCTTGAAACAGTTGAAAATGAATATAACTACTAACATTAGTACGGATCATTCCTGTTCGGGATCATGACTCAATGAAACCTCCTGCTCGGTGTCCTTAGAGGGTGTTCTAGTAACCCGGTCCATAGTAACCGCCCTAATCGCCAACGCATAAGACCTCGATTACCAACATTCACCTTGGACGATCCAAACCGATAGAACGAGCCAGGCTCCCACGAGCCGTCCTCGCACTGCATGGCGAGCAGTTCTCGGACATCCAGTTCAACTTGAGATATACCCACAGACAAGCATGCCAGAATCCGCATAGCCAGTGACAGCGAGTCTGCCTTGACCTGAATGCGTTCCTTGAGACGATCGGTGAGCAACTTCTCCAGCAGCTGCAGTCTTTGGGAGCGTCTCAGGTGAAAAGGACGCTCCCTAGGTCAAAGATGGTTGCTTTGTATTGAGACGATTTCTGTCGGGTCATGTCAGTCTTGATAGAGATGGGTCCAAAGGTGGAATTGGATTGATATTTTGGGGGATTCAGCCATGAGTCAGGCTTATTCATAAGAGATAATCGTCATCTCTCTAGAACCGCGAGAAGCCTCCACCTGGTTTTCATGATTAATCATCACCTTTGACAGAGCTGGGCGATACAGTTGACAGGGCCAATCAGGACCACAAGATATGCTCCTGCCTCAAGATAGCCTCTTAGTACAGTAATAGGCGTTGGGGATGTGCTTTTGAATAAGATGTATAGATTTGAGTCAGTCGCTGGATGGCTCACATATAGCAGTTGTATGAAAGTGGGGAATGCGACTTTCTATTAACGCATAGGGCAGAGGGTAGCATAGTAGACTGGCAGTAGTTGGATTTGGGTCAGACCACTATTGTGATCGAAAGATTGACATTCCGCTCTGTATCCTCATGTCACACCCCGTACTATATTGATAGTAGATATTATATTGGCTCATTCGACGGTAACGGACGAACAGTTAGATTTCAGCCTTCAAAGCGTGACAGATGTTCTAGCACGAAGACGTTCGCCATATCTGTAGAAAAGAAGAGGTCCGGGGACAAACGCAAGAGCAAGGAATCCCAGCAGAGTATTGCCCCAGCCGTAGTTCAAAGCCTCGTACATGCTTGGCCCCGCCAGCGGCAGAAAAGTACTGAAAATGTAACGCAGGAGATTATTGGCGCCAAGCGCAGAGGCAGCAGCCTGGGAACCAAATACATCGATCAGATAGAGTTGCGCGGGCATCTGTGTGGATTAGAGGGTTGCATTGAATAGGGACAAGAGCGTCGATTACGTACCATGACGAAAAAGGCTCCAAAGCCCATGAAAGCGGTGCCGATGATGGGTACCATCCAATGGACCTTATAGTAGGCAGTCCATCCGTATATAAAGAGGCCGAGGCTAACGAGCGGACTGAACCAGATCATAGGAAGTAACCGATCCTCGGGCCGGTGCTGTTGCACCCCATCGGCCTTCGATTTCGCTGACTGAAGGCGATTATTCAGGACGTTGAATATGAGCATGCTGGCGACAAGGGAGACCCCCAGACCGAGGTACACCAACCCGGACACGGAAGTGCTGAATCCGTACTGGCCCTCGAATACGCTGGTGAAGGTGGTAAATAGCAGGTACATCACTCCAAATACCAATGCCACATAAAGGGATATGACAAAGAGGATAGGCGACCGAAACAGGAGCACAGTAGGTCGAATAAGTACCTGGACGAGAACCTGATGCGGGGAGAGGGGATTTCCGGCAAGCTTGGAACGGAGATGATGGTTTCCGGTGTCAGCGCGGAGACTGGCAGTTTTGCGCTCGAGGATGACCTTGGGATGTGTTTCGCTCATGACAACAAAAGCCGAAATACCACAGGATACTCCCAAGATGGCTAGCAACCAGAAAGTCCAGCGCCAGCCTTTGCTTGCAGCGAGGAAGCCTCCGATAACAGGGCCAAGGACCTGAACGAGATCGGACTGGTTATTTGGCAGTCGAAAGGCGAACTAATGACAACACATACCGGTCCTGCAAGTGGTCCCATGCTAAACAAAGCCATCGCAACTGCTCTTTGCTCTATAGCGGTGATGTCTGCAATAGTCCCTCCGCCTAGAGCCATTGGGGTGCCGCCAGCACAGCCCGATATGAATCGGAAGACCAGGAATTGAGCAAGATTCCGGCTCAGCGCATTACCGATAATGAAGGCGACGAAGATAATATTGGCAGCATGGTATACCGGCACGCGTCCGTACACCTCGCTGACGGGAGACATGAACATGGGCCCAATAGCCAATCCAAGGACGTACAGAGTGATGGCAAGGGTGCTGACGGCGCTGGAAGTAATGCCCAAGTCTGCAGAGATACCACTAATTCCAGGTGCGCACATTGTCGGAGCCATATTCCTACGTCAAGGTGAACACTCAGACACAGCACCTTACCAGCTAGAGGGACAGGACTTACGTGGTGAGTGCTAGGAGGGATATGATGACAATATGCGTCCATTTCTTGTGCTCCGGCCAGTTTTTAGGATTGGTGGGATCGTTAGGACCGTTCCAGTCGACAAAGTTGGCCTCTTCCAGCTCACTGCCAATGCCTTTCTCCAGCTGGTTCGTAGCCATGTCGGAGCTACACTCGGACTTGGACATAATGACAGGTCTGGACCCAATGTGTGTTGAAAGCAGTTGAGAGGCAAAGAGATGACCTGCTGAGAGAAAAAAAAGTTGATCAAGATATCTGCAAAACATATTGACAGAGGCATTGCTGCGTTTAAGAGACTGCCACTGTGGGCAAACCCATGTAAACAAAGTGCGAGATAGGACGGAGATAGGAGATTCAATTCGTTGGCAGCTGGCATGGCGACCATGATCAGAGATGGCTGATGCTGTCCAGCCTCAGTATTCACAGAGGAGGCAATTAGGAGGATCGGAGCTTTGGTTCAGTCATGGTGTACATAGAATAACTAATACATAATAGAAGTGTCACCGGAGATTTGTACATACTCGTGTCGATCATCCGCAGTGGGGCGTCGGATGGTCGGACGATCGGATCGGAGGATCGGGGAATCCATTATTGTAGTAGTATAGTAACTTATCTATGAGAGCCATTCAGATTGGCCTCTTTAATTCGATTTCTGCGTTCAAGCTCGGTCTAGTCAGTGTAGATAGACATGATACAGGAGTATTCCACCAGTTTGGTTTGTCACGTGATCGCCACTACTATCGTCGGTCTTGCTCGTGTCTTCCATGTCATCTGTCAACATCCACTCCCTGCGGCGGGAGGACCGTCGGATCGTCATACTCTTTACAGCAGCTAAAGCTTCTCGTAAATGTTAAATTGGCCTGCAGAGTGGCAAAAGGGTCTCTGGACAATGCAAGTTGTCTGTAGCCGGCGCCAATGATGTCTACTAGGAACGACATGACCCCAATCACAGTTGGGACAGCCATGTCAAGGACAAATTCACGACGTTACTCATTGGAATCGTCATTTGGAACACCTCAAGAGACTGGTTTGGCTATGTCACGGCCGCTCCTAAATCCCAGTCGACGTCGAAATAAGCCTCAGCTGTCTTGCAACTCATGTCGACGTCGAAAGTAAGCGGCTTGTGTGATTTCTATCTGTTTGATTCTGTGATGCGAGGCTGACTTTTTCATGTTCTGCAGATCAAAGTGTGACCGTCAAAGGCCCTGCTCATTTTGCTCGGCTCGCGGTCAAATATGTACATACGCTGAAAATCATCCAACGACGGGCTCGCCAAAGCCGTCTTCAACCGCTGTGCCTACTGTACATGACCGGCTTGTACAGTTGGAGCGCTTGGTTACGTCCATGATGCCTAAGTCCTCGAATGAGAGACCCAATGCTAGTTCGTCTGTCGAGGTGTGTATGCCACCAGTGCCCTCAAGGATCACTCCGGCCGAAACTATGCCAATAGATACACCAGTTGATGGACAATCTGAGAGTGGAAGCATGCGAATTACTGAATCAGAGCATCGCTACGTTGGTGGCGAACACTGGGTTGCCATACTGGACGGCATCGCCGATTTGAAAGACCACCTGCACCGCGAAGAACAGCTGCGGCTAGCTCAGAGTTCCGACCGGGTTGAGGACGAGCATGGGGTCGGCAATAGCAGTGAACCATTTGCAAGGTCCCGGTCCAATGGCGCCTTTCTGCTGTATGGATGTCGCCGCGCGACGTCACGCGATGAAATACTCTCAGCATTGCCACCAAAAAACGCTGTCGATCGGTACATCTCTCGCTACTTCAACTATTTGGATCTTGTATCGTCTTGTAGGAACACTTCCATCCACTGCAGCCAAGTCTAATGCTCATTTTCATTGACGCGGTTTAGCTGCGGTTCACGGACCGAGCTTTCTGCGCGAGGTAAGTAAACATGCTCTACGCCCCAGCTACAACGATGCTGTGCTGACAGGTACAGTACGAGGCATTCTGGGCCGATCCATCCGATGTCCCTATCATATGGGTCGGACTCCTTTTCGGTATGATCTGTCTTGCATGTCTAGCATCTGATCCGCCCGATGGACCTGAGGTCGAGCAACAGTCCCTCCAAGTGAATCTGTACCGCGAGAAAATTGTGCAATGCCTAGTCATGGGCGAATATACCAAGTGCGGCCCGTACGCCTTGGAAACTGTCATCAACTATGTCTATGTGGAATTCTGCATCACTGCCGACGCCGACAAGGACATCTGGTTTCTGCTCGCTTTGGAAGTCAACCTCGCCCGGCGCATGGGCTACCACCGTGACCCAAGTCACTTCCCTGGCATTTCCCCTTTCCGGGGTGAGATGCGCCGGCGGCTATGGGCGACGGTGCTAATGAGTGATATTCT